GTGTTATACTGAGAACTCATTTATTGTTCCATCATTGTAATCACTTATTAATCACTCAATATTATCCTCCTAATAAAAGTCGGTTAGTTTTTAAATGGCCAAAAACAAAATTACGACTCTTGTGTGTTTTCTGTGTGTATTTTGATGACTGAACTATTTTGAACAACTGGGGCCTTATGAACCTATATATTGCTCTCAGTTAAAATCATGGTTGTGATTTTGATGAGGGGTGTATCTACACCCTAAACACTGTTTATTTGTGTGAGACCCAAGGAACAATCAAAAGAAATTGTCATCAGGAAGAAAACTGTTGGACAGTAGAAACTGAAAGAGATGTTTAATAAAATGAAGTTTCATTAGTTGCTGGAATCAAATGTTTAGTTTAAATCATCTTGTTACCATCTTACTATAAAAAAGAATAAAAAGGTTGTGACTGAATCTAAACTGATCATTTCCATGGTTTACTGATAAATGTGTAGCATGGATGTTTGTTAGTAACTGACTTTTCTCTCAATAATTTACAGTATGAATATATTTCTGCTGTTAGTTTAGTGTTAAAGTTCATATTTTGTTATGAAAACGTCCTAGAGGACAAGAGCTCTGTAGTCATCTAGGTCCAGGTATTTGAATGTTCTGTTGGAGTTACACAATCGTTACAATGTTCAACTCCTGTGATGATTCTGCTCTGTGCCTGCCCTGCTCTGCTTAATTGGTTCCAAGGCTCTCCACTTCCCACAGCTGTTTCCACTCTCCTGATGAGGCTCACTGGCTTTAAAAGGCTCATTCTGAGACTTGGTCTTCGCTGGAGCATCACGCCTTCTGGGTACCTCTCCTGGCCACCTTGCTTTAATGTTTTACAGCAAGTATTATTTCTCTAGAAATTCTAAGTGTGGTTTTTGGAACATTGTTGTTTTTATTCCCCTTGTTCTCAGACCTTAACCAACCTCCTTGCCAGTGTCAGCCTCCTGGAATCAGCTTACAAGTTGGACTCACCTGTGGAACTAACTGTTGGACTTTTTGGACTGCCTCTTCTGCTTCTTGATTCTTGGAACCTCAGGTCTCTATTGCCACGTGCCTCCTCCCAAGTTGTCTGCCTCCAGAGTTACTGTAAGCTACCACAACAAAACCCTTTAACCTCAAGATCTTGTCTAACTTCTGCTGAGACTCATCCTGCCTCTCTTTGTGTTTTCAGTTCTTGCTGAACCTAGCCTCCCCGGATCTTGTCCCCTTTGTTGCACATTCTAGTTTTTTGTTGTTCACCACATTGTAAATAAATCACTTGAATTTTACTCTGGCTCTGGTCTTGGTTCTGGTCCTGCTCATCTTGAGACTGTTGTCAATTCGTGACACTTTCTCCCCGCATATTCCGACACGGAGGCTAGAAACAGCTAAATTAGACAGTTAAAACACATTTACAGTTCATAACTCACCCTTGTTGTAACATTCATCCTGTGTTGTCCGCAAGCACTTTCCGCCGTATTATGGGTCATTTTCCTTGAAAAATAAAACTTAACCAGGCACTTTGAAGAAGCTCTGACTCTGGTAGTCGATGTAGATAATGATGTGGGTTTGCACACCCCAAAACCAAACATTTTGACTTCTGAACTTGTATTTTTGGCATGACGCTATGAAGTACAAAAATCACACAGCGAGGAAAAAAATGGTGGAACATGAAATCCAGTTGGCCGGAAATACATTACCATAAATGGTAGTTCCGAAGAAAAAGTGTGACAAAAAAATCTATGAAACGAAATAAGCAACAGCAGATTTTGAACAAACTGAAAAATTTGACCCATAAAAAATATAAAAAATATCTTTGCAGTAACTGGACAGAATATACTGTTTTAAAGTTTTTACACTCCTAGACACTATAATTGCACAAAAATAGTTTATAAATGCAAAAAGTGCATTCAGCATGACATGTCTCCTTTAAAAAAACATGGATTATAATANCATCCATCTTGCTATCCTTATGAGGACTTCACACACACAGCGCTCACAGCTTCTCTGCCTCATTCTGCTGCTCCCGTTTTTAACACCAGGCAAAAAAATGCATTTACAACAGTTGACGTTAACTTTAGATCACAGTTTGAAATGCTCCAGCATTTTTAAAAGGAAAAACAACACGGACATGCTGATTACAGTGCGGGGCGAAAGTGAAAGTAAAACAACATGGTGCTGGTCACCCGTTCGGTAAAGAAACTTAAACACAGGTGTTCTTTCTCCCCGCATATTCCGACACGGAGGCTAGAAACAGCTAAATTAAACAGTTAAAACACATTTACAGTTCATAACTCACCCTTGTTGTAACATTCATCCTGTGTTGTCCGCAAGCACTTTCCGCCCTATTGTGGGTCATTTTTCTTGAAAAATAAAACTTAACCAGGCACTTTGAAGAAGCTCTGACTCTGGTAGTCTATGTAGATAATAATGTGGGTTTACACACCCCAGAACCAAACATTTTGACTTCTGAACTTGTATTTTTGGCATGACGCTATGAAGTACAAAAATCACACAGCGAGGAAAAAAAATGGTGGAACATGAAATCCAGTTGGCCGGAAATACATTATTATAAATGGTAGTTCCGAAGAAAACAAGTGTGACAAAAAAATCAATGAAACGAAATAAGCAACAGCAGATTTTGAACAAACTGAAAAATTTGACCCATAAAAAATATAAAAATATCTTTGCTGTAACTGGACAGAATATACTGTATTAAAGTTTTCTACACTGCTAGACACTATAATTGCACAAAAATAGTTTATAAATGCAAAAAAGTGCATTCAGCATGACATGTCTCCTTTAAAAAACATGGCTTATAATATCCTTTAAAATGATAAAAAAAAACTTTGAATGTCAAATTATTTTTGTGTCATAAAAAAATATCCATGTTAATTTGTTATATTTTACAATGAACAATAAAACAAGATCCTCAAAATGAGGTTTTCTGATGCATCAAACTACTCTGTCAGTTCTTTAAAAACTTTTCACTCAGGGTTTGTATTGATATGATTTACAAAATTGTTGAACAGTCAGCGGAACTAAGAACCAGACCAGGAGACAGGAATAAAACGGTAAGTGCTTTTTATTTACATGTGCAGGGTAGTGGGTCATCAKTTATAAGGGAATGAGGAGATGAGGTGAGTATTTTGAAAGGTTCAGTCTTTCTTTTCAGAGATGGTTTGAATGTTAGTGTTTCTTGTCTTTTAGGTCTTCTGGAGGCGAGCAGCACAGAACGGAGGAGGAATCCAAAAACACAGGTGAGTTCCTTTTAGGCAGCGTGGCATAAACATGAAGAGGTGTTCGAGGCGTTTGGCTTTGGCAGGAGGTAATGATTGTCAAACCTGATTGGAAGTCTCTTTTCTTTGCAGGCACAAGAAGAGGAACCATCAGCGAGGTAAATCCACCTTAGGAAACAGGACATGAAGGTAAGTATAATCTTCTAAACTAAGAAACTGAGTGTGGCTTGGATACCACCAGAATAGTAAGATGTATCAGCGAAGATCTGACAGTCAGGATGCCTTATAAAGCCCCAGTGGCTCATTAGGAGAATCTTCCTCAGGTGTGCAGTGGTGCAGGAAACAGAGGCAGCCAATCATCAAACATGAACACCAAAAAGCCAATCATAACATGTATATTTTCTTTAACAGAGTAAACGTCAGATATTTGTCGAATACCTACTTCTTTAATACCAAGAAATTAATCTAAACTCAATGACATGTATTGTACACCACTTTATTTGTGTCTAAATATCCCTTTCTAACCGTGGCTCCAGTCACCTTACCACAGCAAGCATAGGGATGCAAAATAAGTGCTTATAACCCACAAAATGAAAGCTGATAACCTGCCTTTGAGGGAAACCAAGCTCATTATCTTCACAATATCAGTTCAAAGCTGATAGTTAAAAAAAATTTAATTTTAGTTTAGCATTTTGACCATTTTTAGGTAACATTACCAACTCCTGTGGATATACTGGGGTTTCTCAATTGTGTGCTTGCATATAAAGACTGAAAGCTCTTCTCCACCATCTGGGACCAACAGAAGTGTTGTGCTGTGATCAGCTCCCTGGTGTAGAAGCTCACAAGAGCGCAGCAACGTCTAACCTCCCCTCCTTGACATTTTGGAAGCCCCTTGACTGGCTCGCCTTGAGTTGATTAATGATCTGGAGAGCCACTCTGTTCATGGGCAACAGTTTTACACAGCCATGCATGGATGTTGCTGTGTTTGATTAATGAAAGGKTTAATACGATGAGAAGATGAAAACAGTGTCACACAGGATCACATTGGCCTTGTTTTGGCTGAGCTGGAAACTGAATGTGTTACTGAATGCCTGACAGTGCTGCAAAAATGAAAACAATGGCTCATTTTCAGGCTACACTCAAATGGCTATAACCACTCTAAAAATGAGATTACACCATTTCTTCTATGCAAGGCAGGTGTACAAACCGCTCCTAATCGACTTCAGTTTTCATTCCCTCACCGACAGGTGAATACCACTCTTACAGAATCAGGCTCAGCACCAGTTAGCACAGGTAATGGCCGATTATATAAAGTGTATCTGCTTCTGTGTAATTGCCAAGGTTTAGTGCCGTCATACACTGTAGCTCCATGCAATGGCAATTTATCCTCTTATTTCTTGTGATGTGAACCGTAACATTACTGTTTAGAGCACTCAGTTGTGAAAACATTGCACYATTTTATTTCAGCCATTAATTTTCCACCACTAATCTGTTTTCTCACCAAAAAAGATAAACGGCAAAAGATGAAACTGAGTCATGCGTTCTACACATAATTTTAACAGCACATCTAGTAACATGAAGCCAAGAAACAGATGCACTGTCATATCACTGTGCTATTGTAAAACACAAACTTCTGGCACTTAGAAGGGGGAAAGGTGTCATTAAGCACCATCATGGGTTTTGTCTGTGTAGGTGAGCCAACATTTTGCATTAATGAATAAAATAACTTGACAAAAATCATGTGTTAATGTAGTTCTCATCTTGTTCTTTTGCCTTTAAGAACAATACTATCAGAAATATGGCTATCTTTATCACTTGCTTCCAAAAGCAAAAGGGTGAGAAAAATGGTGATGTTGCTATTACCTATTGAAGTAAACTCTTTTAGTCTTGTAATAAAATAACTTCAAAACCAGTGAACAGATTTTTTAATTAAACTCAAAGTAATCATTAAGTGGTAACTAAGCTAATTTGCATGAACAAGTAAAAAAATGACAATAATTCCATCAGTTTTGCAGATATTGAGCTAACGTTAATGCCATTACAACATTGTGCATTGTGCCTTTATTGACTGTTGAGGGTGGGAAAGAACAATGATAAATAATTAAGTAATTCAGTTCTCACAATGCATCAGAATGAAAAAAGAAATCAGTTTCTTGGACAATTTGTCATCACAATTATAACAGGAATGCCTAAATATCACAAGTAAACCTTTCTATATTTAAGAGTTTAGCCCTTTTTCTTTACATACTGAACTTTATTGACATGTGCCGTTGACATGTTTGTGTCTACATAAGGCTTGAACTTTTTGGTAAGTATTTTCAAGCTCAGTCCTCCTCCCCAGCCTGCTGTAGACAGCTCTACCCTGGGGCTAAGTAACAAACGGTCTGCTCGATGAACCAAAACGACTAAATGACTTGTTGTTGCTGCGCCGTACTTCAAAGCCAGGTGCATTTATGGCACGGCAGATGAAGGGGGCTGAAAGGATCCAAAGACATGCTGCTTGTTAGTGTGTGTGTGGCAGTTCAGTGGGGCGAGAAACGGAAATACCAAGGTGAGAGGATCAAACGGCATTGGGTAATAAAAGCGTATCGGAAAAGAGATAGTTGGAGAGGAATCAAAGCTAGTGGCACAACTTTTTTGTTTCCTACGGGGTGCACAGTCCCATTGAAACTGCAGTGATCATTATCATTATTCTTTTCTGACTACTTGGCTGCTTTTTTTTTCTTCTTCAGATCTAAACATGCTTGGAAAATCCTGAAAATGTGCTCACACRTTAAAAGTATCATACAATGTTTAGTCTGCCATCATCACGTCACTATTAATGGTGTAATAAATGTTTTATTATGGCAAAAAGCCATGTTCATTTTGTTATTACTAATGATGGAAAAAAAACTGTAAATTAAATTGTGTAAAGTTTTGCCCAATTTATTTCTAAATAAATATGTTTCTGTAGTTTAAAGTAATTGGAAAATGACAACAGGAGCCTAAATAGTTCCCTCTAGAGGCAAATAAACAGTGGCCTCATAAATTCAACTGAATCGCCTGCTGCT